TTAATTATATACTTAAATCTAATATTTTTGATAATTAATTTTAATTTATAAAGGTTTTTGAACTTTAATTAAGTTTTTAATTTCAAATAGAGCAAAGAATTTGAATATTTTTCTTTTATTTGTTAAATAATAATAATATTTTTATTTATTAATAGAAAATCTTAAACAGCTCTTCGATTTTTTAAAAAGTACATAGCTACCCTCTAAAGAAATAAAAGAAATAATAGCTATTCAAATGTTAGAAGGATTGAATAATCTTCATGTTAAAAATATCATGCACAGAGACATCAAACCTCACAATTTCCTAGTTTGTCCTTCTCAAACTTATGGATTTACCATCAAACTCTGTAAAAAATTTGAATTTTTACAAAATTTATCAATTTAAAAAATTTTTGAAAATCAAGGTGATTTAGGATTTGCATCTGCAGTAACGAAATCTAAAAGTCACTACATATCAAAGGTAAAAATCAAAATATTATTTAAAAATAGTCTTACATTATTTTAATCTATAGAAAAGAACTGATGCTTACTTTGCTCCTGAGGTAGAAAAAGGATAGTCTAGAATTCAGGTTTTTAAATAAAACTAATCTTTAAATTTTTAATTTAATTTTAATGTTTAAAAGTCGGACCTCTTTTCATTAGGATTAGTTTTACTTGAGCTAGATAATCTAAAAGTTTTAAATGAAAATTGGATTGACTATTTTACAAAAGGAGAGATTTACTAAGGAAAATCAATAGCTTCAAATTATTAGATTGATAGAAATTCTAATATTTATAAAATAGCTTAGATTTGCTTAAAACCAAATTATTTGGAAAGGACAACTTCTGGAGACCTACTTTCTGAGCTTATTAAGCTTCATGGATAACCATTGAAATTCACACTAACTTCTATGATTTTAGAAGTAATAAATGCATTGATCAATTTTTATTTAGCAAATCTAATTAAGCATTTAATTTAATTTTAGATTTTGTTTTTGATAATAAAAGTAAATTTAGTAAAATATTTGATCTTAAAATAAATAAATAAATATTTAAAGAGCAAATAATTATTATCA